ACATGTTTGTCCTGGCCTGCAAGGGCTCCTGCCTGTCTGTCCCACCCTCACGCTCGGTGACTCAACCCAGTAGGCAGGAAAAATACTTTCCTAGTGACTCCCACCCAAAAGGGGATGGAAGGGTGTTCCCCCCGCCTGTCCACACCCACGCACACTGCCCTGCTGCTGATGGCACCCGTGTCCTTCTTCCCAAGCCACCGGTACCCCAAGCAGCCCCCGGGCACCCGGAGGAGGACACCTTGCCACTTTGCTCTCCATCAAGCAGTTCTGCAGCTGTGAGGCACGGGGTTGATGGCTCTCCACCTGCTCTTGGCTTACGGGGCACGCTCTCCTCTGGGTTTTGGCTGTTTGATGACTGGCTGCCCGGGGCGAGTGCTGGGGCGCAATGCTGGGTTCCCCCCCTGGGCTGGCAGGTAAAGGCACTGAGCTTGCTTGCTGGCCAACAGGCTGGTGCAGTTAGCCACTGGGCACCTATTTCCAGCCCCCGGCTGCCAAGCGTGACCCCGTTTGCAAGCAGACACCGAAAGGTGCCCCGCAGATGCAGTTACCGGCTCTCCTCTTGGCCCGCGGTCACCCGGTGAGCCCGGGGGGCCTCTTTCTCCATTGCTGCCCTGCAAGGAGATGGTGGGAACACAAAATCAGGACCTACTCCAAGCAGGAGCAAAGCCCTCCCTCATTGCCGACCTCTAAGCAGGCTCACCCCCACACCTCCTCCTCCTCCGCAGGGTACCAGCCCCTGCCCATGCCCTGCCGGCACGGTGCCCGGCAGCGGCGCCCTCACTTACCCGCTCTCCGGGAGGACCATCCATGCCTGGAGCACCCTGTGGAGAAATGACAGGGGTGGTCAGGCAGTGGGGATGGCCAGCAAGCATGCACGGGGGGCATCAAGGGCACGGGCAGAGGACTCAACTCGTCGCCCGTCTCTCCTGCCGGTCCAGGCTCACCCCGGTTTCCAGGTGCGCCCTGCGTGAGCAAGCCACAGGGACGCAAACGAGACAAGTCAGCAGGTTTCCGAACAAAGCCCTGCGCGCTTGCAGAGCCTTGGGCAAACTCTGCTTTGAAGCCAAGGCTGGAGCAGGGGATGTCTCCCCCTCACAGAAGGTGGAGGATGCTCACGCACGGGCATTTCACCCACCTTCTCTCCAGGGCTGCCAGGAATCCCCTGCCGGCCAGGCTTTCCGTCGTTCCCAGCTTCCCCCTTCACAGGGACGCAAGGCACCGTCAAGATCACATCCAGTGCCCAGCAGTCAGTTTCGGCTCCCACAGTGCAGAGGCCGTCAGGAGCCCCAGTGCACCCCAAGCCCCTTTCTGGGCTGTGGTCTCTCCCCAGGGAGCTCCTCATCCACAGCAGATCCCCCTCCCACCCCACCTGCCCAGTGCAAGCCACCTTTCCACAGCAGCCCCCCAATATTTCGGGGATGCTCGTGCCAGGTGTGTGAGCACCTGCTAACCTTGGGCACGCTGGGAGTCACACCGGCCAGATCTTACTGTGGTGACGGCCAGAGCAAGGAGGCCAGCGATGCGTCCATCACCACCTCTCCCTCTTGCAGGAGAGGGGTCCCAGCACACCTCCTTCCGCGTAGGGCTGGGCGGAGAGGCTCACCTTTCCTCCCTTGGGTCCGTAAGCGCCGGGATCTCCCTTCGGTCCAGGTGGGCCTTGAGCTCCCTGTTGAAAATAAAGGCAGCATCACTGAAAACCAAGCTGGTGTCACTATCCACGGGAAATTGGGCATGGACTGAGCATCCCAGCAGGCTGGCCCGCAGCTCCCCAGCGGGACGGACAGGAGGGACATGCACTCAGGAGCAACGCAGGGATGGCACGGTACTCTTGCACCATGGAGCTGTGCAAGCAACGCTGCAGCCACGTTGCTGAAACACTGGAAAACCGAGTGTGCTTCTGCAGCTCAGGGGAAAATGGCAGAAAAGGTGGTTGTTGGGCTGCTGTGGCTGGACTGCAGTGATACTGGTGCCACCACAGATGTGTCATCCTGAGAGCACGGAAACAAGCAGGGAAACTGGAGAAATGCAACGTCAGAACAATCTTGTCCAGAGCCCTCCAAAATCTCCGACATTTTCTGGATGGCTGGTCACAGCAGGCTGGAATTGGTTAATCTTGGACTTGCCTATCTGGCTCTGAGCTCTTCTTTGCCAAATTCTGTGTGCTGAAGAGCCTCCAGCCAAATGTCTCTCCGCCGTGCAGGTTCCCAGGCAGCCCCCTGCGATGAGGGACAGCTTCCAGGCGAGAACAAGGCAGACCACCCTGGGGAGACCCCCGAGGTGCCATGCCTGGGATGAGCACGGCACGTCTAGAGGCATGTTTCCAACTGTGGCAAGTCCCTCCCGCCGCTCGCCTTCTTGGGGGGGCTCCCCATTTCCACGCGCCATCACGGCAGACCTGCTGCACTGGTCCGTTTGCATGCAAGGGGCACCCACAGGGTACGTACGTCAAATCCGGGTGAGCCTTTGCAGCCAGGTAACCCGGGGTATCCAGCTTCGCCCTGTCAGACAGACAAAGCGGGGGTTTCCATGAGCAGTGCCCGTGGGAAGAGCCCATCCGTCATCCCAAAGCCCTGACAGGGACATCCCAGCCCTGTCCCTGGCTGGCAGGTGGGCAGCCCTGCAGGGAGGGAGCCCCACTGCCCCATTGGCTTCATTCCCGGACCCCACAATGGTTTGGGAGGGGCAATAGCCAGGGTCATTGGGCTAAGCAATGTGCCCCAGGGTAGAGATTTACCTTCATGCCATCGATGCCATCGATTCCACGCCTGCCCTTCTCACCCTGAAGAGGAGAACAGGGACCATGAAGAAGTGATTTCCAAAGACCTTTTTCCCCCCCAGCATCAAACAGAAAGAATAAAGCAGAGGCTGACCTTGGCTCCTTTGGCTCCTCTCGAGCCCTGCAAAGGGAAGTAGAGGGAGGTTAGGGACCCGTGCAGAGCAGATCCATCCCCCCACCGCGCTGCGGTCCCCACGCCAGCTCGGTCTGAGGGTGCAGGCATTCACCGTGCCCCTGCGCACCACTGGTCTCTCCCCTTCTGCCTGGCTGTGCCTACTGCACGGTGCTTGTCTGATCCCCAAGGCTGTGTCAGCTGAAAACTGGCTGACCCCGTTGGATCCCCGCTCCCGGCACGGGCAGTGCCGGCAGGAGGGACGGATGCGTGGGCACATACCAGACCCCAACACCACGCAGCTGCAGGGGCAGCCCAGGGTAACCAAGCAGGGGGATGCAGAGATCTCCCCCCAACATCCTTGCTGTCCTCACCTTTTCTCCACGACTTCCTTTGTCACCCTAGAGATGAAAGGAGAGAGGAAAATGGGAAAATTAAAACACTTGTGGCACAAAGCCTGTGGCCCGTCTAGGAACCATGCCCGTGACCCTGCAGCCCCACGTACCTTCATTCCTTGGTAGCCAACAGGTCCCATGTCCCCTGGCCTGCCCTAGAGACAGAAACATGGTGTTACGGAGGCAGATACTGTCACCACCATCACCGTGGGGCAGTTTTCCCCCAGGGTCTCGATGTGGGGCTCTGGTCCCAGCCGCCATGCCCTCTCGCAGTAGGCTCTCCCATAACTCCGCTCCTCCTTTGCCTGGTCTGGGAGCACGGGATCATTGTGGAGGGCAGAGGGGACCTGCCCTCACCTCCACCATCTCCAGCCCTTCCTGAGGGTGAGGGAAAGTGGGCGCTTGGGGACACGTCATCTTGGATGAAAGGGAAGGGCAGAAAAACCTTGGAAAGGAAAAACAGATGGCATGGGGTTTCCAGACTGGGAATGCACAAGATGAGTAACTGCACACTCACGTGTGTGGGAGAAACACACCTCCCAAAAATAAGTGTACCTAGTGAAAAAAAAAAAAGGGGAGGAGGAGGAAAATAGTTTTCTCATTCTATTAGCTTATTATTTACAAAAGGTTTCCCTGTAACACTGCCGTGCTTGTTGTGTCAGAGGACACGGGAGGGAGCCCAGAGTCCAGCCCTGGGCTGGCATACATGAGTCAGAGACGTGTCCTCCAGGAGGAACGGCTATTTTGGGTGAGGAACAAGGAAGCCTTGTAGCAACAGAGGAGGGGGCCACCCCACTGCCCACCAGGAGCCACTGCTCAACAGAGGAGGGGGACGGCTGGCCGTGACTCCACTGACTGCCCCATGGAAACAGGGTGATGCAGGGGCAAGGGCTGGCGAGGATGTTCCTGAGAGGTCTGGCCAAAAGCATCCAAAAAACAGCCCCTGTGCAGAGTCACCAGGGCTGGTCCTTTACTTACTGGGTCTCCAGCATCTCCTTTCTCGCCGGGAAGACCTGGCTTGCCTCTTTCTCCCTGCAATACAGGAGAGAAATAAAGTTAGCTCATCATCCCCAGGAACGGAACGAGGACCCGTTGAAAGGAGAGCAGGGTGATGGGATGAAGGAGAGCAGGGTGATGTGGGGAGCAGATGATGCTGGCTGCATGGGAGGGTGGTGCGGGTCCTCATCCACCTCTCCGTGGGGCAGTGGTGGGGTGCCAAGGATCCATGCCCCACCGGGCATCCCCAGCGAGCCCATCCCACCGCCTGGGTCCCACAGCACAGCTGCAGCTGGTCCCTCACCTCATTGCCCGGGTCGCCAGGAGGTCCGGGGGGTCCTCGGGGAGGCTGTGGGAGAGAGGCAGGGGTTAGACCAGCCACCCAGGCACAGCCTGGGGCCATGGGGATGCGAGGGAAGGGGACAGGGGGTCTCAAAAGCCTGACTCACCTGGCACTCGAAGGAGCAGCACTGCCCAGAGGGAAGGAGAAAACAGCATTAGAGGCAGCAGGCAGCACCGGGGCCAGGCTGCACCCTGCTCGGGGGAGCCCCCAGGCTGGTGGGGCCAGGCAGGGCTGTGACACCGAGCCCCCGCTTGGCTCCAGGTGACCCACAGGGTGGGCTCAGGCACAGGATTGGGGGGACGCAGGGCTCCCAGTACACTCACCGATTGCTCCGTGTTAGCTTTCTGCAAGACAAGAAAGGAAAGAGAGGGGGGTTGAGAGGGATGGATGAGCTCGGGGAGAGGGTGGGCTGGGGAGGGGGTGGGTGGCACTCACTATCATGTCAATGATGGTGTTGATGGTTTCCTCCACATCAAGCTCCCGCGTTGGCTTCAGGCTGGTGGCAGTGAAGTTGCGGCGGTAGGCATGGTCTGTGGCGATGATGTTGAGCCGTTGGTCCTAGGGTTGAGGGGTGGGGAGGGCAGAGTGAGACCGGCAGGCACCCGTGCAAGTCCCATCCCAGAGACCACCCTGGGGACCTGCATCCTCCCTCCAGGGAGGGCTCTGAGGGGCACTCAGAGTCTCCTTCGCCACGCAGGAGGGTCCTGTGGTCCCACTCGGGACAGCTGCAGGGAGCATCCCTGCTGCGTGGTCCGTACCAGGTGGTTGGGGGAGATGGCGACGGAGAACACTTTGATCCCCAAATGTTTGGCTTCATTGGCAGCATCGTCCAGGCCTCCGCAGGGCTCCTTGTACCCTTCCAAGGGGTGTCCATCCGTCACCACGATCAGGTATTTATTCTCCTTGTGATGGGAGCCACTGCAAGGTTTTAAACACAGAATTTAACATTGCAAGGATTTAACAGATTTAGCTGGAGTGGCTTGGGCACCTCTGGACACTCACCCCAGGCAGTGCCCCAGCCTATGGTCAGGGCATGCCACATCCCAGCAAAGCCAGAGCACTATCAACCTGCCACCCCCTATTTCGTGCCTAGGTGACCTCCTCTCCCACCCTGGGGAGAGCTCTGCACAACGCATGGGGACGTCCTAACCCAGAAGCTCCCAACCTCCATCCACCACAGCCATGCCACCAGCATCACCCTCTGTGCCCGCCCCAGCCCCACCGCCTTACCTGATGAGCAACTCCTCGATGCCCCGCTTTATGGCACAGTCGGTGTAGGTGCCCTTCCCAATGTAGTTCACGTCTGAGACACGGTTCTTCAGCTCGTTCCGGCCACTGGGCATCGAGGTGAGGCTCTTGATGAGCACGACCTCATCGCTGTAGTGCAGCGCCCCAGCGTTCCACACCAGGTTGCGGTCGCAGCGGTAGTACCTGCGCAAACACACCAGGACACGTGCTTTCAGCGCCTTCGTCTGCCCCCACCTCCACTTCACTTGCACAGGTCCACCATGCAAAATGCAAGTCCTCTGCCAAAAATTGCAGGGCTTTGCTAAGGCTCCCTGCTCTCCTGCAAGGCTGGGATGTGCTTCACGTGCAAATCCCAGCCACGGGAGCAGGGCGGTTTGTTCAGCAG